CTATTGAAATTCAACCAGCTGGTTATGGTCTCGAATTCCTTCTTAATCATCAAAGTTGTGTGAACTTCAATCATGCTTTTATATTCTAGCTTAAATTAGTTAAATGTTCTGACTGAGAGAAAATATTGGTCTCGTTAACAACGAACAAACAAAAAAATTGAATTTTTCCAGTGGATTTTTTGTTCCATCTATTTAACTTGTGAAAACATACTTATAAGTATACATCGCTGCTATTAATGTGAAAGGTCATATGTAACAATTTTCCATTTTTATTCTATCGGTGACATTTCGTAGTATGCAACTGATATAGGTAGCCTGGTACTATAGAAAATAAAATATGAAATTATAAGGAAATAATTAGTTTTTATGCTCTCCTATAAAACACTCAATTTTTACATAGGAATTGTTGCACTAACAGTAGCGATTTACATCTTCAGTATGTACTGGGATTTTTTTTCTTTAATCACAATTCATCAAATACGCGAATGTAGAATTTTTTCACATTTTACTATTCGCTGATGAACCAAATTGAAGGATATCAAACCCGCGAATGCTAAGGAATTACTGTATTTCCGCAAATGACTTCTCTCGGAGATTTTTTATTATTCTCCTACGAAAAATTATAGACTTTGAAATATAGATGTCAATGAAAACGGTAAGGAAGCTATTCTGGCCTTACTTTGCAGACGATTTTATTCTTCTGTTTGGTTTTATTGTTTCTAAGGAATAAATTGGTAACTTTAAAGTAATTTGCTTAAACTAAAAGAAGAAATACCTCGAACTGAATGTAAAAAAATCTCACAACACACAACTTTCACTTACCGTTCTACTTTGAATAGAAATTATTTTCTGGCAATGCTGGGCTATTATAAAATTTTTTGAAGTGCATTTTAAACGGAGCTAAAGCTTAAAGCTTACAGATAACAAGTCATTAAGACCATTATAATAACAAAATGTCTATTTAATATATCGACGACAGGCAATTAAAATCTAGTCACTTTATAAACCACACATTTTTCTTTGTTTTTATAAACCACAGAATGACTAAGTCTAATTTAAACATTTTAGTGTTATTTTTAGTTGAAAAAGATATCTATGCAGACAGTGAGCAAGTTGATTCCGGAGGTGGTGATTGCATTGTTGAAATATAGAACTGAGAATAAAGGTATAAATTTAGGTACTTATTTCTTATGAAAGATGTTCTGAGGTAAGATACTTTATTAAATATCTGTAGAAAAAACGTTTTTATAGTCTCAACAATTAAAAAGGTATATTTTAAATTTATACAAATTTTCGCCTCTTCAGGGGAAAAAACTAGAGACCATATATATCTTTCCTCCTAATTTTAACGCATTTTTTTTTTGGTTTTTTAGGAAAATCCACAAGCTTTTAAAAAACCATATACAATATCCACAAAAAAGTGTATACTTTTTGAGTTATTCGGAATTTAATTTTACCACCCATCGTAACTTTTTTTTCAGCTTCTTTTCGTTGAAGTATGTCATATAAATCAATTTAAAGAGTGTCGAGAAAATGACTTTAGCGAAGTTTCATTTAAATCGGCACATTCGTTTAGGCGCTACAGTCAATAGCAACGCACGTTTTTCTGCATTTTTATTTTTTTCTCCTTTATTAACATATCAATTTTTTTCAAAAGTTATATCTACTATTTTTTCGTAGCTCTGAATAATGCGAAATGATTATCTTTTTAAAATAAACCATATTAAAAGTACTTTAGAGGAAGACATATATGAACATTGGGCATTTAAGCCCTATAAAGTGACATCAACGGGGATAAGACCTCAATGATATTAAAGACTACTTAATTATACAATGACACACCGAGTTCAATAAAAATCGTTAGAGCCGTTTTTGAGAAAATTGTAAAAATGTGTTTCAGCGTTCATATAAAGTGGCACTTCCGGTTAGCCGATTTTAACGAAAACGTTACTGTCACATCCGGCTCATATACAAACCTTAAATACTTAATATCAGTTTCGTACTACTTTTCGTTTATGAGCTAGACTGTTAACACACACACACACACACACACACACTCACAGACCATTTTGCGACACTTGGTTATTTGTTATTATCATCAATGAAACAATTTAATCACTTTTCCTTTTTAAATAAAAAATAATAGGAAAATAGGAACCATTGACGGAGTCCTGACCGCTGTTTGTCCGCTATTTATTTTTCCACAAGTTATTTCTGCTGAGTCCATCAGAAGTTTCTTATGAATGAGTTCTGTTGATGAAGAACACATAATTAATTGTCACAATATTAAATATAGTATTCTTAAGAGGTTTATTGTATTTAGACTTAGGATAAGTAAAAAGTATAAGTAAAAAGAATTTCCCTCATATGTCTGTTTTTAGCAGTAAACTTATATGTGCAGCATTTATATATTTAAATTCCTTTGGAAATAAATAAATTTTCTTTGTTTTATCTTTTGGTTTTTTTATATTCCTTTGTTAATTAAAAATGTTTTCTTTTTCAAGTTAAATTGGATTAGTTCTTCAATCAATTGATAATTGATTGTATTTTATCCTACAGTTTTATTCTTCACTATTAGTTATTTTTACCAGGTATATCCTGTGTGATAAAATTGAAAATATATTATAGCCAAAAATCTCTCATTTTCCAAAAAAGTAATGAAAAATAAATATAACAAGGGAAAGCTTAGATTCTGGCCTAATGGAAAATTCAGGTGTGACAAACATTATTATAATTTATCATGATTATTAATCCATTTCATTGATAACAGATATATTGACATTGATTGGTAAATAGAAATTTTCAAATTATACAAAAACTAAGTTATATCACTCTGAAACAAATACTCTCCTACCACCTTTTACAGGCTTAGAAGTAAAATGATCAATTTTTTTTCTACTTTGGATGCAATATACAATATTTACATTATGGTAAAAGGTATTGCATTTCATAAGAAATACTTTATATCAATGATCAGAAATGGATCTATTGATTGAGGATTAAATTTTGAAATATTTTAATTTGTTATAATGGTTAGTGTTGTCCTTAATCGATCTTGGTCATGCACTTTGTAAGTCCTTCTGGAATTCCTTGCCATCTGATATCCGCCATGCCTCTTCCTTGTCCTCATTTAAATATCATCTTTACCAATTCCTTCTCACATCCCAAAATGACATTATACAATGAAATAAATATTGCGAAACAGATTTTGACTGAGGTGAATGGTTGTTAAAATTGATTGAGTTTTAATTTTAAAAATCAACCCATGCTTATTTTATTTTGTTTTCTTTTTATTTAAATAATGTTTTTTTTATTTTGTTTTTTCTCAAAATGGTGTTATTTTTGCTTGTTTTAATATAATTTCACTGACGATACTGTATATATTCTTTAATATTGACTAATGTAATTTTTGGCCAGATGTAGTTTTTATTTTTTTTTTGTTCATATCAGTTATTGATAAGGGACCTCGTCCCAGAATAAAGTTTACTTTCTTCTATCTATCTATCTATCTAAAAATAAATAATTGTATTTATTTTCACATTTTCATATTAAAGGTACTTTGGAGGAAGAGGTATATGAACATTGTGCATTTAAGCCCTGCAAAGTGACGTCAATGGGAATAAGATCTAAATGATATTGAAGACCACTTAATTATACAATAATACGACGAGTTTAATCAAAATTGTTAGAGCCGTTTTTGGGAAAATTGTAAAAATGGATTTCACCGTTGATATAAAGTGGCACTTCGGATTAGCCGATTTTGAGGAAAAAGTATGACTGTAACATCTCAGTCATTTATCTATCTTAAAGAGGTTTCATTTTTGAGCTAGATTGTTCACATACACCCGTCATTATGCGGGACTTGGTTATTTGGACTCAGGGGACATCAAAACGTGTACTTCCATTGAAAACTCACATTAAAAAATTTTCACGATCACAATACTTTCCCTTACTATATATTACATATATAAGTAAGTGAAAGTAATAAGCCATGTTTCATAATGTTTCAAATGAAGTAACTCAAATGAAGTTCAAGTTGTTCAAAGAACAAATTTTATTTTTAAATATTTCTAATGGATTTTAAAAATAATAAAATATGTAAATCCGAGTCAATATTAATTAACCATGAAACCTAAAAAAATTTAGCTTCATACTATAAGTCTTTCTTTTAATAATATTCTATATTATGACTTTAATAAATATATCTTTAAATAGATATTAGAGTAGAGCGACTAAATTAATGTAATATTTTAAAGCAAGGGTTACCAAAAGCTGAGATTGGTGGACGATGAGAATAATTTTGTAGGGGCCTCCTTAATCGTTACAATAATTATGTAGAGATGGTTGACCGTGGTATAATATGAGAAGGAGTTGGTCAGGGGGTGCGGTACCAACTCCTCATGTAACAATAATTGTATATCTATTAATAATACAATAAAGAACAATGTTTGTAAGCATGTTTTGCTTTCACAATGTCTTATTTAGGAAGCTTTATATTCATAACGTAGTTAACAACTAAATTTCTAATTAATATTTTTTTTTAGATAGTACAAAAAAAAATAGACAAGTTCATAGTAACTTAAAAATATTTCAAAAATCTATATTCTTTCTAATGTCGAAATATTTTTGTCACACTCTAACAAATGTTAAAATCTAAAAGATTCTACTAACCAAAATATAAATAGCTTTTGCTAATTATAAGTACTAAGACAAATCAAATATAAACGGTAATTATTTTTTATGTATGATTGTCATTCAAAAATAAATATTTCAGCATTCCTCCTCAATGCATAATCTGCACAATTTTGCCACTAAATTGGAAGCTTTTTGCTATCAGTACAGCAAGGACCGAGCTGCAATCTTGACATATCTAATTTGTCCATTTAATACAGAAAAAGATGAGGTATGTCCATAAGAGATATAACCTCTCAACATGTCAAAGCCAGACCTGACATCCTGATATTGACTAGCAACAAATTAGAAACTGGGAAACCTTAGAACACCATTCTTATAAAAAATTTTCCCTTTGGATTTGATCGTTTTTAATTTAAATATTATTTAAAGAATCATAGGGAGAATGTTGAGGAGTACATTTACAATTGGCATAGAGTGCTCTACATGTGTAGATCACTTATCATTAAATATATCAAAGGTAATTACTATTTATGTTTCATTCAGCCGCTTGCTCACCATTGCACTAAACAACAATCGTCGGATAGTCGGACTTCCGCTCATTATACTCGCTAAAGAGATAGACAAACCCTTTTACTGTTAAGGTTGATCATTACCAAATATCTAAAATGTTCCATTATCTATTTTTAAAGTCTAATTATTTTTTATTTTATTGTAGTTATTGAGTAGCACAATCTGCCTCACCTAGGGGCAATAAGTATTAGTGATAAAGGTAAGCCTTCATACAATATATACATACAAGAAAAATAAATACAAGTAATTAATAACAAATTTAAAAAATTTGAGAAGCTAAACCACATAAGGAAAAAATTGGTTTTGCAATGGATTACTGCACACTGTAGTATCAGTCATAATGAGAAAACAGACAAATTGACAAAGACTGGATCTTTTCAACGGCAGGAGATCCCTGACTTACTGGATGAGGTGAAAATAATAAACAAAGCTGCGATAAGATAAAGATGGTGCACAGAACATCTTCACAGCGACCCTCAAGATCACTATCACAAACTAAACAGAAAAGAGCAAGTCACTCAGGACCAACTACAACAGACTGAATGCTCACCTTCATAAAAAAATCCAGAATTGGAAATAGTCCCTTGTGTAAGAGTGGTTTCCGAGAGCTAACAGTTCAACATGTTTTTCAGAGTTTTGTTCTTCTTAATGAAGCTAGAAAGAAGATTTGGGCGAAATCGCTTGAAACCATACCCTACGGGACGCTGGAGGACCTCAGGAGAAGCACTAATTTCTTTATTTTAACACCAGACGTGACCATTTCTGGAAGATCGAAGAGGAAGAAGAAGTATTAGTAGTAATAAGAAAAGTTTAATGATAAAAGTAAAATGATACATGAACTTCGCAAATAAATTTTAATTCCTGCTTCAAAAATATTTTTCTCTATTGATAATAAAAAAACTAAATAAAATATCATTTTTGTCATCATTAGAAACTATAAAAATATTAGAGATCAGCTGACTGATCATTTATAAGGATTGTTCCTTACCTTATCAATTGTATTAGTTGCTGTTCATTTTCATCAAACTATTTTGATATTTGACATTCAATATAACATAAATGTTATAGTTAAATTGGATTAATCACTAATCATTTTATTAATGTAATCAGCCATGTTTTGCATCCATAATGAACTATAGGTAGGATAAAACCATTATCCTACCTACAGTTAGTTACATTAAGGGATGAGCAATATCTTAAGGTTTTTGAAAATAAAGTATTGTATAGAATATTCGAACCGAAGAAGGATGAGTTAACCAGAGAGTTCAGACAGTTACAACGCCAAACTGTGTGAATTGTATCCAGTTAATATAATTGAGGTGATTACATTGTGGCGAATCAAATGGGCTTGTAAAATTGTTGGGCTTAGCAACAAAAGAATTCCTAAAAGGTTAATATTTGCTGTACCGAATGGTAAACATCCGAGGGGTAGACTGAAGCGAAGGATCTTTGAGACTACTCTACAAGGGAGGAGATAGGGACAAACAACTCCCTAATTCATATAGACCTATATGTCTCCTCCCTGTGATTAGCAAGGTCCTGGAGAACCTCGTGATGAGTAGTTTACGACCTGTTTTCGCTAGAGCGATTATATGCACGGCAATATGGATCAACCAGATGCCCTGCTGAGAGTGCGCAGAGATGTTGAGGAGAGGGCAGAGCGGTATGTCATGTTGCTCCTTTTCGACATATCCTCCGCCTTCGACAGCGTATGGTGTGCACAGCTTAGAATTTTGTAAACCGATATTATGGCAGAGTGTGTTATTATGTGTTAATGCTTAACATCACACTACTCCATACACCCGTGTTGCCCTGGTGGCATGGGAGGGTGAAAAAAACACTGAATCAAAGGTGGAAAGATTGTATTAAATCTAAAGGGACTGGGTTTTGACGGCGAATGGTGGAGGGAGGTGTGAAATAAGCGATTGGTGGTGTCGTCATCAAACCTTCTGGTTCGTTAAGACTTTTATTATTATTGTTATTATTATTATTATAAATTGGATTATTAGAAAGGTGTGTATGTAGGTCATTTACTTTTGGGTGGACGCCAAGGTACACTTGGAATGTTCCGAATTCCATCTGCAGTGTGATCATGTGGCCAGCCATATTACTGGTCATATTCTATATAAGTACCATTAGTTTAATGTTCCACGACTAGGGTTAAAAGAGGTCATACATTTTTAAACAATAAATTGATGATTGAATAACTTTGAAAATTTAAGTATCCGATATATCAGTTTGTAACATAGTGTTTGGCAGTGCTTCCTTTGAAGACATTGCTTAGGATGGCTGTGGTGATGGCATCAGTGCCGAGGAAGAAGTCCATTGCCAAGATGTTAGCCTTGTCCCACCAGCGATCCCTGCACCACTCAGTGAGGTTACTGTTGATCTGGCTGGCCATGATCCGGAGGCTGCCCTTGGGGTTGAAGAGCAGATCGAGTGGTCCTGGGGTGAGCTGTGCCATGGCAGCCCACAGCCCTCTCCCTGGATCTCGCAAGCTGTCGTTGGTCATGCACTTATCCAGATAGTCTCGGAGTCCTTCAGTCGTCTGCTTGTTGCCCCACAGCTGCCTGATTGGTGGCCACAGCCAGTCAAATTCTGAAACATTCATGTCCATCTCTTTTTTATAATTTAAATTATCCTTTTAATTTCAAGTTGTATTTATACTACTAGTAGACCTTATAATTAGGCTACTACAGTGGACTCAGGTCGTAACATCTTCCTGACTCAGTGTTATTTCAAGTTTAAACTTTTTTGATTATTTAAAAACCTCAATATGAAGCTTACATATCTTCTTTATCGCTTAAATTCTATTACAACTCAAATTTACACTATATTTTTTCTAATTATATTAAGTATTCAATTATATTAAATTCCCTTAAACAATTTCATTATTTTCTATAATGAACCTTTGTAATGGAAATTTTAAAATATTCATCGACATCACACCATTTTTTGCAGAAAATCTTGTTTTGTATTTTGATAACTCAAAAACTTTGAAATTCTTTGGATAAAAAAAGATTAATACCGACCACTTACCTATCCGTAGCTCTTAAGGACAAGTAGCTAAGTTCTAATTTTTCAAAACTTTTTGTCTCTAACATAGTAACACAAAAGTCTCTTTTACAATCAAGTAGTGGACCTAACTTATCATTCTCATAAGTCAAATTAGCCATTTACAAAAGACACAGGTGTGAATCTAACCTTGCGCAACAATGTTGTCCCCGTAAGATATAATGATCCTCTTCCCCTGGTCCCAGATAGATCCAAGAGTAGGGATGTAGTCTTTCTTGAATGGTACAGCATATTCCTTCAATTCCCGCTCGAGAAGTTTTACAAGATGCTGATGCCTGAATGGGCGCCCTGTGAAGCCCAGCGGAAATCGGTGCAGATCCAGAATGACGATTTCTTCTTTGGTCTTTTTCATAAACTGCTTTAAATCATCAAGGAGTGGTAACAACTGTCTAATTTTTATTAAGTCGTGGTTAATCCAAAAACTGAAAAATAAAAATATTAACGATTCTTACTAGTTAAAGCTAAAATATATTTATAGAAAGAATTGATGGTATGGATTAATCTATAACATACTGTATTATACACCTTTATTGGAAATTGGTGTAAATTGCTTAGTAAATTAATGTTGAACAATTAAAAGGCAAGCTAATCTAGTTCTGCTAATGTCAGGAGATGTTTGAATATGAAAACTAGTTTCATTAGTTGAATAAAAAGATAATGGCTGATCTTCAGTTTTCTCTCTTTGTTTCTCCAAAGAAGAAAATGTCTGCTTAGACTGAACAAAGGTCTTCAGTTGTTGTTTGGCTATGAAACTTGTTGGACTGTAGCACTTGTTATTTGGTAGTGTTAAAGAAAGGATGTGAGAAGGGAGCTTCTGACTGCCACCAATGAAGATATAAGTTAGCTTGCCGGTTTATGTCAAACTGAAGGAAAAATACAAACACAAATGAAAATATTGAATACTTGATGGTTGACGGTTATATATTTTAGAGGAAGAAGATGGTGAAGGGTGGCAGTCGTAAAAAGACTAAAATAATGAAAAAACTATTTTAGTCTTTTTATAACCGTCACCCCAGACCATCTCCTTCCTCACAATTGAAAATATTGTTATGTGTAAACAGTATTTAGTTTTCTAAGAGTTTGGTCTGATTGTCAGTAACCCATGCCCTGAGATAAAATTGTATTTACATTTCCATGCCATTTCATTCCAATTATTGTAATTCCATCTTCATATATCAACAGTTTTAAATTTTGTTTTCTTTAACAACCTTTTTATTTGTTTTGGGAAGTTTCACTACAATATTGAAGTGATCATCCAGGGTTGTTATTATTATCAAAGATGTGACATTATATAATAAGTAATTAAGTATAATAACACATTGTAAATCAACTATGTGCTTTCATGCTTCAGTTTTTGTTGGTGAATTAATACTATGGAGCCTATTTGTATTTTAAAAAATAAATTAATTAGTTTACACATTTAATATATTTAATAAGTTTACACATCTGTTTACTTATTTTACATGAACAGTAATGGTTTTTCAGTTGTTTATTGAAGATTGATTATTTGTAACATTTACTTTTTGAAGATATGTAATTATGTTATACAAAGGCTATGGTGTGGATTGTATTTTAAAATAATAAATTAAAATTAAATCATTGATAACAATAATCAATAAATGTTTAAAATCAGTAGTTGTTATAAATCTAAACTGTCTCAAAAACATAATAAAATACCATAATATTCTTAACTATTTCTAAAAAAATGATCAAATATCTTGAATTTTTTACCACCTACAAATCATAACCGTAATATTAATTATAAATATCACCTGCTGTCGTCTTCTGATGTTTCAGAGCCATTTTTCCTCTGAGAGTAGTAACCGATCCTCAAATCAAGGTACCGCACTCCATACACCAACTGCTGCCAGAGGTTCTGATCTTGTGTGATTATATACCTTCCAGATGAATCTCTCTGTCCTGTAGTTTCCGCTCGACGATAGCTTCCTGAATTGTGTGTTCCAGGAATAAATAGAGAAGTCAACTCTAGGTTTTCTAAAGAAAGCCTATTAAATAAAATGACTTTTGATACATGAAATACATTAATTAACGAGTATTCAAAACAGATATAAATAATAGCTTAAACGTTTTAATGATGTTATGTGAGAAATAAAATTTAATCGAAGAGGTAGATTAATAAAGCTTTTTTTTGTTATGCATTATGATTTAAAAAAAAAAAACTTATTGGTAAAAGTTTAATATTCACTCACATAAACCAAAATGGACCTATATAAGAAAATAATTTTTTTTTTTTATTCTGAGAGGAAGACTTCTGCCCGAAAGTCTTCCTTGAATCTGCTAGTAGTTGTGGGTCGTCTTGGTCAGGGCGGAGTTACGAGTCAAAAATTTGAATTTGTGAGCTTTAGTAAAAAAGCTAGTTCAAAAACTGGGTTCAGGTTGTAAAACCCTATACATAATCCACATACAAATCCTACCTCTTCTTCAGAGAGTTTATCTACAGGTGGAAGTGGTGGGTCCTTCGCACTTCACTCTTGGCAGGACTCCGCCACGCAATATTGACGAGCCATGTAAAAATGGGGCATATGAAGAAGGTAGGTGAGGAATGGACGGGTGCGGCAGACCAGGAGAGCTAGATGGCAATCTGGATGGATAAGGCGGACCAGGAGGGCTAGGATGCGATCCGGCAGAGAATAAAGTGCGTCCTTATCAGTAAGGTGCACATCGATATTTCATAAATTGTAATTGTGGCTGGGTATCGAAAGGTGCCTATGACCGAGTCCATTGAGAGTTAGGATTGCCCTATTTCTTAAGTAGTCCAAGTGAGACATAGCATTGAACTTGTTACAACTTCACTTGAAGGTATTCTTTCTACTTTTATACTGAAAGTAATATGGTGGTCTCTGTTTTATAGTTAAAAAATATATATTTCTCCAAGCTAGGACTGTGATATTTTCAGTGGGGAAGCCAAGCTTAATTTTTCTACCCTTTCTTTCACCCCTTCCACTTTACTAATGGAATAGCTGTCCTTCTCCCTAAAGTATTCGAACAATATACAAATATGAGAAACATGTTTATTTGTAAATACAATTTAGTATTATCAAGATAGTCTATTCATTAAACACAATTGATGAAAACTTTATACTTTACGATTGTTAGAGTAATAATTTATTTAATAGGTGATTAGGTTGTTCTAAGAGAAAATAATCCCCCAGTTTAATGGTTAAGCAATAAGACAGCTATCCCTGAACTTACACTAATCTATATTATTGCAGTCGCTCAAGACGTATTTGTTTGATGGTGAAGAGCCTTGGCTAGTATTTCTCTCAATTTCTAAGAGTTAGAAGTCTATAACTGACAATAATAATGCCATATGTAGATTTTATTTCATTTAATTTAAAATATCAAAAATTTTATTTCAATATATCAAGTGTCCAAGGTACCATAGAGCTATTCTACTCCATTTCCATAGATCATTGTTGCAAATTATCTTTGTTAATTGTTATTTGTAGATAACTTGATAAGAAGCAAATCAGCTCGAAACGTTGTTGGAAGTAGAATAAAAAATTTGAAAGTATAAAGGCTTATATATTCCTTGAGGATACCATATATAAGCAATATTTTAGTTTTTTAAAACCTAAACATTCAATAAATATCCCATGGTAACCATAGTACCTAAAGGCTTTCATGTTAATAAATAGAAATTTATATATATATATATATATATATATATATTATATATATATATATATATATATATATATATATATATATATTATATATATATATATATATAAACATAATTATTTATATTGGGAATTAGTTCACTAATTATCTGCAACCAGATACAGAAGAGAAGCTTAATATCTGTGCTAGTGGACGGTGGGGAGACTGTTGGTGTGTCTCTAGCCTGAGGTATCGAGGCTCTATTTTAAAACATTAAAGAGGATCCCATTGTTAACTACCAAAAAAAAAAAAAAAACCGAGATCAAAACGTCGAATGAATACCAGGATCAATGAACATTTTGTAGTTTATTGAATAATTATTAAGTGACCTAATTCCCAATTTAAATAATTATGTTAAAATATAATACTCAAAGGATTGAAGAAATTTTGTAAATATGTATATATATATATGATACCTATTATCCTGCATCCAAGTAGGTCTGATTTTAAAACAATCACTGAAGACTAGGTTTTTATCTTTGTAAGCAAGGACCCAAAGAGGTAGGCAGTGGTCGCCAGGAACTGGTAAATCCCTAAATTCCTTTTCCCATCCACCAGGAAATTGAGGATCTCCAAATGGAATGTTTGTTGAGACAAAACCATCAGGATACATCAGAGTTTTGAATTCTAAAACTAATCAATCAGAGGGTTTAAATATATATGCATGTTTATCATAATAGGATTTTTTTTTTTTTTTTCGAAGGCTGTAAAGCTCACCTGGTTCTGATTTATGCTTGGGATCAGCATTGTAGAGGGAAATACTATCAACAGAATTGTTGACCCATTGAATCTGCACCTCGCGGTCTATCAACTTGGTGCTATGAGTCGCTTCTCTGTAAAGTGGGGATAATGTCAGATACACTGGAGGGAAATCTGGTTGGTTGAAACTACAAAGTCCTGCAAAATTAAATTATTACAAAATAATATATAATCAACTTCGAATTTAAAGCTGGATTTTTTTTGGAATTGGAAACAAGATACTCATTAATCACTTATATTTCAAATTTAAAGAAGGTAACTGCTCTCTCTCAAGAACCTTTGTAGTCTTTTTTAAAATTTTAATTGTTATTCTTTAATTTTTTGTTGTGGTCTGAAGTAAATATTTATCCGTCTTCATCTCCATTCAGGAGTATCTAAATATTTTATAATGCGTGCCACAATCTAGAATTTCCCTTATTAAAGCATGTATACATTTGATGTATTTGTACAAATCGTACCAATGAGTCAATAATAACTTTTAATTCCAGAAAGAAAATTTTAGAATTTTTTTAACTAAAAAAATTAAGAACAATTTAAAAATCTGATATTGAGTGCACATCATACAGCTTTCCCTTATTATCCTACTTGGAGGAGTTGATGGCCGAGCAAGTGGGGGCGAGGGTCCCAGGGTTCGGAATATTATGAGTTATATTCCCTTCAGGGTCAGTTCATTTATTTATTTCTTGGTAGTCAGAAGAAATGAATCTTGAAATTCCCACTTTGATTAATATACAGCAGCAAACTCTTGGTATAATAATAATAATAATAATAAAAATTCAATTAAAAAAAAAATCGGGCGACACCTAATTTTTTCACCTGAATCTTCCATTCAAGAAAACAGATAAACAAAATATGCAATTTCTTCAATCTTTTTTACTTTCACTTACCTATATATGTAATATATAGTAAGGGCAAGTATTGCAATCATGAAAATTTTCGAATCTGAGTTTTCAACGGAAATACAGGTTTGGGGGTATCCTGAGTCCAAATAACCAAATCCTGCAAAATGGTCTGTATGTATGTAAACAGCCTAGCTCAAAAACGAAAAGCTGTTAGAAACTAAATTGCATATTTGAGGTTTTTATAATCCTTGGATGTTACAGTAACATTTTTGTCAATATCGGAAAACTGTAAATGGTACTTTATATAATCAATTTAACACATTTTTATGGTTTTCTCAAAAATGGCTCTAACGATTTTGATTAAACTCAGTATATCAGTCTATTATTAAGTAGTTTTTAATATAATGTTGGTTTAATTCTCATTGATGTTCTCTAACAGGGCTTAAATGGCTAATTTTCAATATTAGCTTCCTATAAAGTACCTTTAGTTTTTTTATTTGAAATAATTAACCATTTCACATTGATCTTTGGTACAAAAAATAGTTAAATATAAAATATGAAAGAATTTTATAATTAACTAAAGGAGATATAACAGCCCGAAAGAGTAGAAAGGCTTCCATACATAACATGAGCTTAATATAATACGGACACCGACAATATTATGTATGTATACATATGTAGTTTTCATAAATGCTATCATTGGTATTATTTAATATTTAATTGTATAGAATACCGCGGCATAAAAAATTAAAATTTGTCTATATAAGGTTATTTAAACAAATAAAAATACCCACAATGAAATGTAAATAAATATAACATCTATAATTTTTACTTCCATTTCCTCTTTTTCTGAAAATATTTATTTCTCCTAAGAAGAGGGTGGTAAGTGAAAGTCTTGAGATGCGTGCACCAGATTTTTTTCTAGTCAAACAGTTGTTTTAAGATTAAAAAAACAGTTCATGTTTTTTTACTTTCACTTAAGCATACATGAAATGGAAAATATTGTGATCACAAAAAAACTTGAATTGTTTTCAATGGAAATAGATGTTTCAAGATCCCAAGTTCAAATAACAAATCTTGCAAAAAGCTCCGAAACAAAAAGTTGCACAAAACTTATATTACGTATTTAGGGTAAGTATGTATATGTTTGTAATGTTAAAACTTTTATTCTAAAATGGATTTACCGGAAGTGTCGCTTTGTAGCATTAATTCCACATATTTTTATAATTTTCTTGAAAACAGCTCTAACAATTTTGAGTACTTTATCTATATTAATTAAGTAGTCGTTTATATCAGGTAGGTATCTCATTGAAATATTTTCACTGAGCTTAAATGTTGAATTTTCAGAATTCATTTTAATTTTAAATATTTAAACATCTCTTACTGTTAGTAGGAATAAAAAATGTATAGATATATAAACAATGACAAAAGTCAATGGTTAAATAAAAGATAAATATTTGTCCAGATTGAAAACATGTTTCTGAAAATAAGAGCAAGAATATAAATTTATAATATACTGTTCAGAAGCTAAACATTTAAAAAATATATATATATATAAAGTTGTATAAAGTAATGGAGAGTGACAAAAACTTTTATATTACTGGTGGGAAAATAACTGTTCCCCTGGAAAATAAGTGAAATTTTCATATAAAGTTCAAATTTTATTGCAGCTTGACAAAAATAAAATAAATAGGGCTAAGAATTGACATATTATATATTAAATTAATTGTTGTACATTTATATTTATAATTACAGTAATATTCTTAAGTTTTATTAATTTTTTTTAATATTATGATTATCTTATTAATGATGCCATACTATTATTGTATCATGCTAGTAACATTTTTCTGACTAAGTGTGTCAACAAACATTAAATAAGCTTACCATGTGAGAAAAAAACAGTAACTAGAATAAATACATGATCTTGTGGAGAAGACATCTCCAAAGAGATGAGAGCCACAACTACATTGGTCAAGCACCTCAATAATCAACGCTAACTGAATAATTGGCCCTATCCTTTTCGTTGCTACTCTTTCATCCAGGCCGAGCCCCCTCCTCCTCAATCCATTAATATTTTGTGTCTTCCTTTTCCTATAATATAACCTCATAAAAACGGTTTTAATTTGTTTATTTAAGATGCTCAAAACTTTTATGAAATAATTATATAAATACAATTCAGTTGTTAGTAATTTTTATAGAAACTTATAACACAAGCCATTTTATTTGATATTTTAAAGTAGAAATAATTGATGTGAATAACATAAAAATAAAGTAATAACTGATGACAAACCAATTATATTAAATAATAATAATAATCTATCAATGATAATAATGTGTGTATTAAGAAAAAAAATCTGGTATTGTGTGTGCATCACAGAATTTTCACTTACCACTCTAATTTGAGTAAAAATTAATATATCTCTAACTTTAAATATAAAGAAGTGACAATTATTGTAAAATACAATATTTTTTGCACAATTTAATTCTGGTGTGTCAAGCTGAAAATAAATCTTAAGCTTTCATTTAGTTTCTATGGAAATAATTTTTAGGTGGCAGCGAAACTTTTGTTTCTTTGTTGTTGTTTAAAGGCTCAATAGTTCATCAACACCTACGGTTTATTTCAACTATAAGTTTGTAAAAAATTTAAACTATATTATAAAAAAATAAATAATAAGAAAAGAAAACTATTTACAAAAGTTATATAATTACAGAATAAAATGAAATGTCAAGTAAAAAATGGAAAGTATTTTAATAATACGGTAAAAGTACTAAAATTTAGAAGCAAAGTAATGTTTTTTTAAAAATTCAAATACAATGCGACTGAAGTTCCATTGTCATTTAGGGCTACAGACAGATTTAGGATCAATTTTATTCTATTTATACTTGAAATATATTTTCTATATTCCTTTAAAATATATTTAGCAGAGAGCATGCAACGGAAACACTGGCATAGCAGAGGTTGTTGTTTTTTAATGAGCTTTCAGTGTGGGAGTGGAGTGTTATCAATCCTCAGGCGGGTAAGGGTGACTTTCTCCCTGCGGCTGCTACATTTTAAAAATAGAAACTATGGCAATAAAACAATATTTTTCAATAAGTTTTTGTCACTCAGTATACTCTACGACTTCATATGATAGTTATCTCTTCAAAAGTCTTTAGCTTTTCAATGGAATTATACTTAAACGTTACTACTCTTATTCTTAAAAAATAATAAAAAATAATTTTACCTGAAGATCAAAAAGAACATAAGATAGGAGATTTTTTAAGGTATAGGGAAAGGATGAATTTTTTTTACCCAGTTTGATAAATATGCATATACGCACATTTAATTAAAATATAAAACTGAAAAAAAAAAGTTACTTTGATAAAATTTTTATATTTGTTTCCAAAAATAATTTTATAGAAATACAAAAAAAAAGTTATTAATACTAATTGAATGTATTATAGAGGTAGATAAGGTTTTTTTATTACAGTTTGATGTACATCTAATAAAGCTTACACCTTTCAATTATGACTACAATATAAATTGTACATTATACAATTACAGTAAAATCTATTTAATTATCTTTAAAATACAGAAAAAAATATTCTATAGTTTAAAATAATGATATATCCCTGAGAAATTCACTAGGCATAATTAACAGTACTAAATAAATTTAATTACTTTGGTGTTTCGAATACAAAATGAATTAAGTCAAAATTGAAAAAGCAATTTTCAGTTAATTTATTGATGACAAAACATTTATAAAATTTTCTTTGAAAAAATAATAATGAATTAAAATTTATAAAAAAAAAATATTAAAAAAACTATAAGAAAAAAATTTATACCACAAAAACTTTGTTTTTTTTCTGGAAAAGGAGTAATTTTTATATTAAAGAAAGAAACATAAACAACTATATTTTATGAGAGGGAGTTGGTCGGTGGAGTGCGGTCAAGAAATGCTATATACTAAAATAGTATTTAATTAAAATTCTATTTTAGTATATAGTATTAAAATACTAAAATACTATTTTAGTATATAGTATTAAAATACTAAAACACTATTTTAGTACATAGTATTTATTTCACCGCACCTGCCGGTCAACTCCTCATATTATAATCACGGTCAATCATCCCTACACCAACTAAATTTTATATTAACACTAAATAAATTATTATCATTAACAGGTATCGCCAAAGTACACTATATAATATAGTTTTTTAAATGTTGTTTTTAGTTAAAAAATTTGAATTGGGCTAATAAAAGCCAAAACTTTGTATAATATTTATATATTATATTTCTTATAAATTATATTCTTTTTATTGGTGAAAATAACTGTGAGAATATTGTGGTATTTTAGTATCTTACTCTACTATTGATTAAAATTAATAATTAAATAAAGAGCCCACTAACAATGATAAACGAAAATAAGATTGTTTACCATAAAACATGATTAAATAATTTATGAATCTGTGGATTTTCATTGATTTGTGCATACATAATTTATTTAATATCAATTCAGGAAAAGTGGAAATTTTGATATAGAAAAGTTACGGGAGACTAAAAAAAGATGTTATTCTTTATTATTCCTTAAAATAAAACAATGTAATAAACATAAATCCTAATCTAACGTAAACATTGGTGCTATTGCAAAGTTGTATTATCCGATCCAATCGGCTACTTCCGATAGTCCATGCACAAGTGTGATCAAACTGATCTTGGCCCATGTGTCATTCAGACCAGAGCACCCGTAAACTAGAACCTAAAATTTTTTGCTTCAAACCTGAACTTCATTATGAGATGAGTGAATGAACTGAAAATCTCAATTTATTCATTTTGATGCTTACACCTTTCTATTTTGGCACAGTCAAAATATATATATATTGAAACTTATAATGAACTGAATAAATTGAACATGTTCGTGTCAGATGAAATTTTGTTTAATACAAAAACTTTTAACAAAAAAATATTTTTATACTTCGGAAAACATCCAAGAAGTTGTATCTAATAAAATCTCTGACTTAATTGATTTCGGTCCTGTATTAACTTCCTTTTCCATCTGAGTGTCTACCAGTAAATGTTTTCTTCACTATTCTCGCCTTATCAACGTTTGATATTCATTGATTAACTGGATAATAATCTAACACTATACTACTTGTTTTTTTGTTTTTTTTGTTTCTTTACCTGAGATACAGACTTGAGATTTAAATTGAGATGAATTATCTCTTGAGTCTTTTATATATAATAATTAAAATATAAAATATTTTAAATAATCTAAAACTTATAATCCAATTTTTTTACTTTTACACTACTTGTACATTTTAATCACAGGATTAAAAAATAAATTAATTAATTAATGTTAAATAAAAAATAACTACAATCTAAACCGCTACTTAAGATCGTAACATGTAAGAAAGGTCACTTTGCATTTCACACATTTTGCATCTGAGATTCTCATCATCATTATTTTTTAGATTGTCTTTTAATTTGATGTTCTTGAATTTATTAATTATCTTATACATTTATGAGAGTTTATTGTGCAAACTGTTTCTTCTTGAGTTAAGTAAACACAGCTGATACATTTTTGAAAATTACATTAAAAATCATTACTGATTTCGCATATAATATTTATTTCTCTTGTTATTTTTGGCCTCTCCCATTTCAAGCTTATTGCATTTTGGTCCCTTTTATCAGAGGCAATGCGAGGAAATTTGCCATTTTGAAAGCCTTAATTTAATATTTTATTATTGCAAATGAAACTTGATGTAGAATCCGATTCTAATAATAAAAAATAATTATTTAATTATTAAACAGCAGCTATAATTAAAAAAAAAAAAGTTACCTCATCCTGATATTTATAATAAATTCTTACCTTATTCTATCCTTTAAAAAAAAAAGATAAACTAAGGTATTATTGCCTAAGTCATATAAAATAAAATCAAAGTGGAACAAAAAAGTACACACTTCTTGATTGTTGTAATTGGGTACCTCCATGAAGTTTCAAAATTAAATTATAAAAATAGAAACCTAAACTTTAAAAATGTGTTTTTTGACTATTTTCTACTTTTAGCATACCAGTGAATTTTTGAAGTGATTTCGCGTTTGGATTAAAATATTTCAAAAACTGAAATTAGGACCAAGGGAAAAGTTAAGAATTTTATCTTCTTTGTAATGAGCTATTATTCAAAATTGTATCTTAACGTGACGCCGTGTTAGAGAGGCAAAAAGGGAACGAGTTTGGTTGAACATATGGATTAAAATATCTCAGAAAATAGAAATTGGACCTGCATACTGTAACTATGGTTAATTTTTATGAGGTACGTTTGTCACTATGAAAGTTTCTGGTTCACTTCCTCGCCTGCTGAGTAAGAAGGTTCAACAGCTCTTTATGATCCATATTGTTCAATGTTTGAATGTCCATTCCCAGAGCATTCGCGACACTCTTCATGTCTAATCCAATCGATTTCAGCAGCTCGATAAAATCCATTTCTTCACCTGTGAAACATTATGAAAATATTTACCATTATACTTATAGTCTTTGTCATTAATTAAACAGATAATGTATTATACAAGCAATATGATAAAAGGTAAAATGATTTTTGCAAGTGTTTGTTGAAAATTGCATTAATGTATACAGACAGTTATAAAAATAACTATCTGCTACTAGTTTTTGACCATTGAGATTCGAGAGAATAGCCACAAACCATCAGCTGACTGTTTTAAGATCTCCATTATTAAAAGCATCCTCTGATAAGAATTGTATTCTTAATACAAAATGAATAATCAAAATGAAGGTAATCAAGAAATTGATAAATTCAGTTCTTGTTTTTGTTAATCAAAACTACTTGAAACACTGTAAAATTATTAGGGCATTAAAACCTCCAGCTCTCAGGAATGATGGATTTTGATAAACAAGGTGTCAAATGTAAGGGAATTTCATGGATGTGATAATCTCAATTTCGATTTTTTAAATTAATATAACTACAGTAAAAGTAAAAGCAATAATCCTGGAATTTAAAACCCAGAATGGCTCTATGGCTATATATAGCAGCAGCAGTAAGTCCTTTAGTATTAAACGCCTTTATAGTGAGGAGGCATAAAGCTACTGCTTGGAAAATTACAAAGGTTTTTGTACCTTATGACAAATATCATTAAGATTACTGCTTCTTCTGCTGTTATTATGAACATTGCACATTCGAGTAGAAAAACAACCAGCTCTTACTTAATACTGCATATAGGCTAGCAAAGTAATAAGGCCTTAATACTTCATGAGGGTATTTTAATAAATGAGTGGGAAAACAAATTAGGAGAAAAGATCAATTCATGAGCCTAGAAATATTTTTTTTACTAATGACTATTGAAAATCTTGTTAATTTGAATATTTCGATTGTTCATATTTAAACTTCGGACGCTTGACAAAAGTAATTGAAATTCTACCACATACATGGACTAAGTCGCTCATCTGTCCTATATTTAAGATGAGTGGTTGAATAATGTGCTCCAACTACATAGGGATCTCCCACCTATCTGTCGGATACAAAGTCCTCTCAAACATCCTCTTCAAGTATTTGCTACCCCATACAGACTGAGTATGCCGCCGAAACCAGTGCGGATTCAGAAAAGGCAGGTAGGTCTACAACCGATCAAATATTCTGCCTCGGGACGATTCTGGAACGAGGAAGGGAACTCAAGATTAAAACTCATCACCTCTTCATCGATTTTAGAGCAGCTTACGATAGCGTGAACATCATAGGTTGCTCCTTCCAGGCTATATCGGACGCTTTCCATGCTATTGTGAGTCCTGCAAGAAGACTTGGCTTGAAAGTCAACTCTGCCAAAACAAAATATATATGGTTACAGGAGAAGGGCCTAGGGCTGGAGAGGACGTGATCTGAGAGTAGCAGTTCGTGAAGACTAATGTTTTTTTATATCTCGGCTCTTTGGAAGACTAATGTTTTTTTATATCTCGGCTCATTGGTAACTCAAGAAAACACCCCTGAAAAAAAAGTCATGTGTAGAATCATAGCAGCAAATTGATGTTATTTTTCTATGGGAAAGACATTCCGAAGTAGAGCACTCTCCAGAAGAATTAAGGTATGTGTTTATAAGACGAAGTCTTGGCGTATGGTTATGAGACTTGGAATACTTCCCTTGTAAACAGGAACTCTTATTCTTTGAAAGAGGAATCCTCCAACATATCTATGGAGAAAAAACCAGGAGCTGTACACCATGTTTAAGGAGCCCGATAGAGTTCAATTGATGAAGATTGCAAGAATGAGATGGGGGGACTCGTCAGGATGGCCAGTGAGGATTCACAAAGACAGCAGCTGATGGAGACACCCCATGGTACCAGGAAAGGAAGAGGAAGACCATAGCTATGATGTACTGATGAATTATCAGCATTAGCTACTGATGCAACAAATATACTGAGGCTTTGGAATTTGATGGCGGCTGCAAGAGACCAAGGCAGTTGGAGGAAGCTGCCGGAAGAGGCCAAGATTCGACAATGGATTGCACAGTCATGCTAATAGTATAATAATTGAAAATCTCATTAATTTGAATATTTTGATTGTTTTTATTTAAACTTCAGACGCTTGACAATATGAATTATCAGTATTCTACCATAACTCATTTGAAATACTATCCAAATATAGGATAATGTGGACATTCTGAAGAATATCAGCACTAACAGAAGAATGTAAACAACAAACCAATACCTGTAAATGGATTATGAAGTTTAGGGCATGAAAGGTTACACTGCGGCCATGAGCATCTTTCAACAAGTTTTCTGTTGCAACCTTTCTCGACCTGTCTTGAAGATCGAAGTGTATCACCTTTGTGCAATTTGCCTTTCTTTCCTATAATGATATGACTGTTTATTCAAATATGAAATTTACAAATATCTTTAAGAAAAACATCCTCAAAAAGAATGTTTCAAACAATCTTAAATTTTTATGTCAACAAATACAGGTGAAATTATTTGATCTATATTGTAAAGTTCTATATGTAAATGTATTTATGATAAATGCGAGGTCTCCTGTAAGAATTGTATTTTAAATTAATATTTATAATTGTAATTCATAAATAATAATAATCAATGAATTGTCCAATTTAGTTATTGTGGTTAATCAAAACTGCTTCGAAGATGTAATATGATTGGATTTGGAAACCTAAACAGAGAATGGACAATATATGTAATGTTATTATTATATATATATAGTCAACTCTCAATAACTCAAACCTTAATAATTTTATTAATTTCAACTCCCGTTTATTTTCCTATAGTGTTTGTCTTTATGGCTTCCTCTATAGGTCGGACATTTCAAAATTTTTACAATGAAATTTTGAAGTGCTTCTAAATAATTACTATTCATATTAAATTAAATTGGCTGTTTAGACCTGTATCAAAAGTAGTTAATACAGAAAACTTAATTAATTATTAAATATTCAATTTCATGTGCTAGCAAATTTTATATTTTAAACAAACTTCATTAAAAATTGTAGAAGAAGTTTGTTGAGATTCATAAATGAAATTATACACAAATAAGGAATCTTACTTTATAGTGCGGCGACATATTGCCCGAAGTTTCAGGCCATCATCAGAGCTAAGTAAATACAAAATAACAACCAATAATGATAATTGAATGTAACAGTATACCAAATTATGTGGTAAAAGTATTAAAAACAAAAAAATAATAACAATATGAAAAACAAATAAAGTAACAGGGAAGCAGTATAAAGAAATTGGAAGATAGATTTAAAAAAAAATTTCATACTCATTTTACTCTCTTAATTTCTTCATACTGTTACCCTGTTTCACTAGTTTCTTTATACTATTATTCTTATTTTCTTTATTCTGTTAACCTATTACTTTTTTTCTCACCTTTTAGGCTATACAGAGTTTTTCTTGGGGTAGGAATGGGGATGGGAACTTCAGTTTATTACAGGTTGCTCCGGGCAACGCATCTATTGCACACGCATTAGCCCGCTTGGCCACCCCACTCCCTTGTAGTAGATAGCCCCCAGTATTTACTCCTTCATGTGACATTGTGTGAGGGAATGAGAAGGAATATATAGAAATGTGAGGTTCCACGATGAATTGTACAGTGGACAAATCATTCATTGAAAAGTCTCATATCGATAAATAATCGATGGAGAAGGAAGAAGGTTGGAGGTACCGAAAGGTACCAGCAGGCAGCAACAGCTGGAGAGAGGAGAGGGCATTCTAGGCGGGGACAGGTAGAAAGGAGGTTGTCAGGAGATAGAAGAACTCACTTGAGGCTGGGACACAGAGATGAGCTGGGAAGAGAGGCTTACTACATTGAAGACTAAGAATATCAAGCCTACAGTTATAAGACTTCTGTACATTAATTCATTACAGTTGTCAAAATAAATAGTTTTATTATACAGGAGTGAAAAGTCATTTTATTTAGTTTTCCTATATGCCTCACAATTGAAGAATAATAAACAAGGTGAGTCAATTCATTCAAAGTGTATTTACCAAGTCCCACATTTCATATATATATTCTTATCGGTTGTTATCTTGTTTTCTCTTAGTCCTGATATGGTCAAAACCTAGGTAAAAAGTAAAACTAGCATTCTTATTTGTGTGTAATTTCATTTAGGACTGCACCCCGAACAACAGCCTACTGTTCGATCCTAAGGTCAACAATACCTTCACCATTTTTATTCAAAATCACTTGAGGGCACTTCAAAATAAAATATACCATTTTGTTTATTTTTCCTCAGTTTATTTCTATTTCTTCTATTTTTTTTTCTCAATCGGTTATTGGACGTCTCTTTTGTATTGTTCCTCATATTTCCATGCTTGCGCCTATGTTTCCTCCTATTTCGAGGAGAATCTGCCATCATCCTAAAATTTCATTTGGTTATACAATATATTTGAAACAATAAATTTTATAATAGTTTGACTCATTTGATTTAGAAAAAAAAATTACCTGTGCATCTGAAATAAATCAGATTCATTGTTTTGAGTGGCGAGCTCCCAGCAGCGTAAAGCTTGTGGCAAGCTTACGTCATCAATTCTCAGCAACTGCCAATATTTCTTGGTAAGTACCGAGTGGGATATACAAGCTGGTGCAAATACTGATCTATAAATGGACAGGAAAAAAAAAAAACTCTTTGCATTTCATAGAACTCTGATCTGATCATTACGAATCACTAAGTACTATAAAAAATTATAAAAATTTTAGTCCAAGGTGTCTACCAAAACTGTTCTATAGTAATTCCCACGACTTTTCCAGGTCATCAAAGATAGCTGAGGTAGAAAGTAGATACATTATTATATATAATTATTCTTCCTACTTCTAAAATATCATGAAGTGATAAACAATGAAGACAAATTACTTTATCGCCTAGTTTACAATTTACTTTTGATGGATATAACAGATTTTTATTAATAATCATTTTACATAATTGATACATTTTTTAAAAATAATGTTGTCCATAATACATAATATCTTATAAAAAAGCTATATATTTTTATTTTATACAAGAAATATAACAAAAATTAAATATAATATATTGCCTTTACTGGCACAAAAATGACTTAATAAACAGTTTTAAGAATATGATCAGAAAAACCAATAAATAATAACTAAAAAAATAAAATGTATTACTGTTTATAACAAAGAAACCAATGAACACGCTATAAGAGATCTGACGTATTGTGTATACACTGGTGTATTATCATTATGTACACTTTAAATCATAAATTGGTGCTTGCGTCACTAGCCATGCTAAATTTCCTGACCTTTCCAGGTTCAAAAACTTCCCTAACATTTCTATGTTATTCAAGGCACTCATTTAGAAAATTGGAGGGTTCCTTAGAAATAACAAACATTTTAAAATATTGTGTTTTTTTTTTTTTACTCAAGAAACAGACAATAATGAATTTATTAAAGTTATTAGTGATTTTTGAATTTATGACTAATTCCACTTTTCCATGTTCGAAAAATTATTGTCTTTTCTAGGTATTGCAAGTTCCGTAGACACCCAGACAGTCGTTTTGAAGAATGGAGGGCTCTTTAGACATAACAAACACTCTAAAATATTTTAAAATATGTTTTTATTACTCAGTTAATATGTAATATTGAATTAATTACATCGTCAAAAAGTCACCAACTACATTTTTAATGAGGCTAAACTTTTAATTACATTTTGGTGAAGATACAAAAACCAAAATGACACACACCCTTTTAAACATCAAATATAGTGCACAGTGATATGATTTGGAGAAAATTCTATCAAAGTTCTTAGGGATCTAATTTTATTAAATATTACTTAATGATTTTTTTAAACAAATTGATGATATGCATAAATTAACTAATAATGTGTAAGTGAGAAATAATTAAATTAGATTAGTTCTTACGTAACGTTCTCAAATGTGCTTCGAAGACTGTCTCCCATCTTATGGATATAATCCCATTGCTGCTTAGTCACAGGAGCTCCTACGTTATCAGCAGTCATTTGAGCTTCATCAAACAGCCACTGGAAGACAAAAAGTGGAGCTGGAAAATTCACTGATTAAATAGTTCCTCATTTCAGCATGGATAAATAATATTACATCTATCGTCGATAGAAAGTTACCTTTTAGCATCGGATAAAGCCTATATCCAAAAAAGCACCTCCATGATTCACTTATGTAATGCTTCTTACAGCTGTGAGGTATTTGGCCTTGCCACATGATCATTCCTTTCTTAATCGTTTCGACAGATGCCATCGGATCCTCGTGTGATGGGTAGGGTGTCCTGTCTAAAAACCAGCCAGAATCCGATATCCCTCGGACGAGGATGTTGGGATATGATTGTAGCTGTAGCTGCACTGATTCGAGATTAAGCATGACGCCAGCTCCTCCAGCACTGATAAATTTACATCTGTTAGAATTGATTTTATAACCATGGATAACAAAAATAAGCAGTCTATTAAAAATGTGATAATTATAGTGCATCTAGAAGGTTTGGTGGGGACTTGATATGGCCTAAGTTCACTGAAGCTGCTAAACACAATATTGTCAAACCTCCCACAGCTGGTTTATAAATATGCATTTATAAAAGTAAATAAAATACAATTTAAAATTAATATTTTTATTCAGAGACAAAAGACTGAAATAAAAAAAATGGAAAGCTATTTCATGGATGAAAGTTTTGAAGCTGAAAAAACTATTTCAAGTTAAAATAATTAAAGTACACCAATGATGTAGTTCTCTGCCGCCATTCCCATGACATAGTTCTGTTTAACACTAATTATCTTTATTAAAAACTTTTTTTTTTTACTCTGCAAAGAATAAATTATATAATTTATAAGGTAAGGTTTCTTTCCCTAAAAATGATCTAAAGAGCTGAAACTAGTGAAAGAAAAAATAAAATAGGACCTTATTTTAAAAATAAAGGATCAAATGTGTTAATTTATTATACAAAAAATACATTATTATTATTAAAAATAATATATATAATAGATATTTCACCTGCTTCCAGCCAAGATAAGAGATGAAGCATTGCCTAGCCCCAGTTGTAGCAACTCTCTGATGACCTGTTCAACAATTATGGCTCCCATGAACGTAAACTGAGTTCCATCTTTAACTAACAAAGGAGTTTGCCTTCGTCCGCTCCAAGCATCACTTGTACAGTATGGAATGAAACTACACAAAATACGATTAAGATTTCAATCAGGTTTGCTTCTTTGAATGTCTTCCAGTTTTATTTTAATACAATACTCAGCTTACAATACTATTGAGCTCACATACAAAAATTTGACTAATTAAAACCAAGCTAATTTTTTTTTTGTTAGAACATATCAGATATTTAATGAGGGTGGAGAACTAGTTGACTGTAGATTGTATAGTAGGAAAGTTGACTGCAGTGACAATCAATGTGAAAAATTAAATATTTTTTATTTCCATTTATGCGAATTTTTTGGCCCTAGTTACTGGTACTGGTGAGGAAACTAGTCCGCCAAGTGGACCATGTGATTCTTTTTTGCCAACCCCTGACGGATACTTTGAGGTTACCGTCTTGTACTTACCAGAGTGGGAGTGTCAAGATTCATATTCCATGGCAGCAAAGAAATAAAATTAACTAACCCAGGCGGGAATTGAACCCACAAGTTCAGAACCTGGCAGTCTAGGACCCATGCCCCAACGTGCTCGGTCATCCCTTCCTCTTTGGCCCAAGTTAGGTCATATTTAATATTTTTCTGGAGACTTGGTTGGATGATTTGGCCAAAAAAAAAATGATTCTGTTTTCCAAGGCCTAAATCTTGGCCCCCTTTTTCATATGCGCCTCGCTTAAAGAAATTAATGGTGTTTTCTTCCAACATTTATACTAGATCATGATGAAACCATTACTAATGGCATCTGATGTCCTCTCTTCTCAGAATTGTTTATCATGGGTACAATTTATTCTGGTTTGACAGCTGTTCTCTAACATTTCAGAAAGGTTTGAAGATGCAGGGTATTACATGTATAGAATTTTAATTTATTTTTGCCATATAGAATATATATGACTTAGGTGCACAATAGATCCTTGTGGTTGCAGTACATTATGCCAAATTAAAAATAAAATTATACATGGCATAAATGAATTTAAAAGTTATTTATTTTCAATTTATAAATAAAATTAATTCAAAACGTTTCATCTTCATATTGACAAGTTGACTATTTATAAGTCTGAACATTTCAATAGTATATCGTCTATACAATGACAAAGTGGTATATGTGAAAATTAAATTTGAAATTATTGTTGCAAATATAAGATAGATAATTTCTAATTTCTAATGATTAAGTTAAATTCAATTCTCCTAACTGTTACTGGCATATGTAAAAGTATCTGTGCTATGTTTGTTAGAATTAATGTTTCAGACAAGAAAGAATTAATAAAACTAATGAATTTGAATGATGTTGAATAAAGGTGTGTAAGTTGTTTTATTTGATATTTATATATTGTTGAATGAATGGCAATGTTAATCATGAAATATTATATAATTTAAAGTGTTAGAGTTGGATTTTATGAATTACGTAGTTTTTACAGAATCCCAAATTTCTGCTCCAAATTTCAATATTGATTCCAGTAAGATGTATTTTTTTTTTTTCATTATTATTTGGTAGAGCATCGGATATATGATTATTTATAAAAAGAATAAGAAAATTTTGATTAAAAAAGCTATAGCTAACACATAATATTACTCATAAACCAGACATTCAGATGATTTTAGTAAATTAATTTATAATAAATGTGGGTAAATAAATATTTAGATAGCAATATTTTATGACTAACTGTTTCTGTTTAATACTTACTTACACATGATTTGCGTTCCACCAAAATGGGTTGTCTTCTGGATTTGGAGAAAGTAAACCACCAACTGTATAAAAGATATAATTCCATTAGCATTTGTTTAAATCTTTGAACAAATCTGAAGAGAAGGGTTAATAAACATAGGAAATTTTTTAATAACTGTAGATAATTCCTGAGAATTTTATAAATCTTGAACGTTCCAAATCATATACAGGGTATCTCAGGGTTAAGTGGACAAACTGCAAAACTGAACTAAGGTCCTCAAAACAAGAAAAAAATTTCCTCTGAAGGTATATGCTTTGTTTAGGAGATATTCACACCTAAAGATTTTCGTTGTTATGAATTATTTATGTTATATAAAATAAATAAAACCTATTTATTTATTTTAACTACTTTATTAATTAAATGTAAACATTAACATTCATATTAAATGTTGTTCAAAGTGATTTCCTTGAGCATTAAGACAGGCTCGGCATCTTTCTTCAACAGCAGCAGTGACAGAATGATAACACAAATCCAGTCCCGTTCTGCCACTGCTGCTATTGTAGAAAGACGCTGAGCCTGTCTTAATGCTGAAGCAAATCACTTTGAACATTTAATGTGAATGATAATGTTTACATTTCATTAATTAAGTAGTAGAAACCACAGGCGGATCTACTGGGGGGGCTTTCTGGCTGAAGCCCCCCCAAAATGGTAAAATATAACCATGTTTTACAGAAAAAATATATTAAAACTGTCTCTTAAAGTATTCTTCTTGTTCGTGTAGGACATTTAATAGGACTTAAACACCATATCATACAGGTAGTTAATTTCTTTTTTTTTTTTCAAATTAATTATCGTTATATGTACATGAAAAAAAATCTTTCAAGCTGAAGCCGCCCCCCAAAATTATATCCTGGATCCGCTAGTGGTTGGAACAAATAAATAGGTTTTATTTATTTCATGTAACATAAATAATTCACAACAAAATCTTTAGGTGTGAATATCTCCTAAACAAAGGGTTTTTGGACATACCTTCTGAGGAAATTGTTTTCTTGTTTTGAGATCCTTAAATCATTTTTGCAGTTTGGCCACTTAAACCTGAAACACCCTTCTTTTAAGGGTTCTAAATTTCATCATGAAGCAGGTCTGCCCTCGGGTGTGGAAGAAGTGAGAAAATACCTGGACCTCAGGTTAATAAAAGTTTTATAAAAAGAAATGTATGCAGGCAAAAAAATTGTTTAACAAACATATTGAGGCCATAACGGACGCATGTGTATTTCTATGAACATTCATAAATTATTATATACATACGAATAAGATTCAACAGATAGTTAAAAAAAATAGCTTTCAGTTCAAAATGTTTTACCTTGTCCTCTGCCCTCATTTATTGCTGTAGTACAATAGTATATAAGTACATTTTTTAAGATTAAATGTACTCCAAAAGCTTTACTTAATTGAAAAAATTAATTTTGTTTTTAACTAATATTTTATTCAAGAGAATCAATTAAAACATTATTTTTACCCAACTAAGCGAAGAGAAACAAGGGCTATAAATTTGGGCCATCCGCTGAAAGCTATGCAACCCTTTTTTGAGTGAATGGTTGGATGGCTCGAATTATTCTGAGATACCTTGAGTGTTTTAAAACAATTTGAGCTAAAAATACTGACCCATTATTAAATAAAATGTATTTTATCACTTTTTAAAAAGTTTTGTAACGCTGTTTTGAGCTTGCGGCTGGATCATTTTTGAAGTTTGACGGCTGAAGTTATTTAATTTTGAGTGGATAAGGTCATTTCTGTGATAAAAAAATAAGGTGGTGTAAAATAAAACCAGTAAATTTGTTAAGGAAGTTGAGCAACCACTATACAATTTGAAAAACTGAATTATTGTTTTTAAATGTTGAAGGATAAATTGATGTACTTGTTGGCCAATATATTTTAATGATTGATTTAATATACTTAATCTGTTTTAAATATCACTGAATAAAAAAAAAATTTAAGATAGATAGTAGTTCATTAATTCCTTCCTTATTCGACAGGTTTAACCTAACCTATTCTAATCAGGGTGGAAATTTGGAGTAAAAACTAATTTCAAATGCTCAGAAAAGATTGAAGCTAACAGCTCATTTATTGAAGTAGTTGTGAACTAGTACGTTTATAACTTGTTAAATAACAATTACAATTATCATTTATTATGTATAATGTAAGTTTAAAAATATTAATCCGTTATAATTAATACAAACTACTTACCATTCCTAACATCAGCCCAATGTTTTGAAGACATGAGGTGTTTCATACGAGACCAGCGAGTATGGCAACTAGTAGAATCATAACAGTACCATCCTCCTATCAATATAATCAATAAAAAAATCATACTTTTTCAAGAGACTAATGAATTTAAAGCATTTACATTGTGTAACGTTAACAGAATTAATGAAGTACCAAATGAAATTCTGAGATTTACAGCAACATACCAAGTTACCAGTACCTAGACTGATACAAATGAGAAATGGTACTAATTGCGAATCACTATGCCAAGATAGCAGCTGGTTTCAAATTCAGTTTGAGCACACTGTAGATGAGAATGTAAGAGAAATCAAATATTGACAACCAATTCAAATATGACAGATGAATCCTTAATACATATTTTGGCCTATAATGCACGGACGGAGATTAATTATATTAGATAATAATTAAAATTAATTATACCATGTATAATATGGACATGTTTTGTATATAAATTCAATTTTCATTGCAGTAGTACTTCAATTTAATCACGATTATATAAGTCTTAAGGTCAAGTAATGGTCTGAATAATTATTGACTTGGTAATCTGAAAGGGGATAAAGGATGTTGATTATCATATATTGGAACCATGAAAATTATGATATTTCTGGTAAGAGGTGAGTTCTGACAAACAGCTGACTAACATATTAAAAAGTCGGTGTAAACTGAATTTATATATGAAAAAAGTTAATGAAAACATTGATTTATGAAATTGGGGATCGGTCGTATATATTGAATGTTAGACACACTTAATTACATTTACAGCATGTTGAAACTGATCTTGAAACCATTTACCATGATGGAGTAGCAATTTGGATCTAGTACCTGAAAAATAAATAAGACGTTAGAACTAAAAAAAAAAATTGGGGTGTCAAATATCAACATTAAATTGGAGTTTAATAAGGGAGATTAAGGATAGGAAGGAAAAATAAAACTAGACAATTTAGTGGATTCCACTTTAATGAATTAATTATTACAATACTATTAGAATGGAAAGTGGAGACTAGAATGAGAACAGATATAGAAAAAATTTTGATCAAAACTTATAAATTTACAATAAATTGCATTAAGATACAGAAAACAAAGCTGTTCTTCATTCAGTAAGAATATAAACAGTATAGAAATACAATGTAGATAAGGTAACCGAGTTCACTACCTTATAATCTGTAACATCACTTACAATTATCAACAGGAGGTGAACATGTCTTCAATATAAAAACACCCTTTTTGGTCCACAAAAAAACTAAGTTTACACTTTTTTAAAATTAAAACTTATTTCCTTGATTGATTAGAACCGCTTTGCCACGATGGTCTAGAAGAAGTTGCACCTCCTCTGGACTGTGAACCTCTTCCCCTGGCTGCTTGAGCTCTGAGAATTGCAGATTTACCTCTCCCCGCACCGGTATTACCTTTATTCCCTTGTTTTTTGAACATCGGCGCATTCTTCAACATGTCCGGTAATATAAGAAAACGTATTTTTGAGCCTCTAATGAAAACATTTTCTAACTGAGCCACTCGGCCGTCGCGATAGGTAACAGTTAAACCGGTCATTTGACAATTCATATTATCTTCAGCTTCGATCAACTTTCCTCTGTAGACTTCTCCAGTTTTTGTCTCGCATGTAACGATATGCCCTTCGGCCTCGTGTAATACTTTAATAGGAACACCGATAGACATGTTCAATCAGTTAAAAACAACAAGAGGTTACAAACAGAACCAACGCTGCCTGCACAACTTATGAAACTCCCCGCTTCGGTTGACCTTTTGACTGAATCGATACATCGAATTGATACTGCAGCGAGAGCTACGAATTTCACAACTATTTACGAACAACTTCTACATATTGGTAAATAAATATTTAAAAAGAAATAATTGCTTATTATAAATAAAAGTAAATACAGGAAAATAAGTAATCCATCAAATACTTATAAACATGACACGCAAGCCTATTGAGGCGCCATGTTGGCGAAAATTTGGCTGTACTTAAATTTTTATATTTTAGTTGTAAATAGTGTTTGACTGTTTGAAAGTATCTTTAATGATAAATAGACAAGATTCTGAATCATAGTTTTTATTATGGGTACCGATGTTACGACTCAAGCTTTTAAAAATCATTAATCAATCCAGAGGTAAGACGCGGAAGGGTCTCCCTACCCTTAAGAAAATTTCAATTTTTATAGTAATTAAATATTATATGTACCATATTTTTAAACTAAACAATAGAAATTGTTTAATAATGAATAAATAGTTACTTGATATTTGAAACTCATACCATCTAAATTGAAATATTAAGAACCACAGAAAAAGATAAAAAAATGTTAAATAATTGCAATATGGTGTATAGATGATATCTATAATTAATTTAAGAATAATTTTAATAGTTTTTCTTATTAGTTATACTTTAAAAGAATATAACTAAATTACAAAACATATTAGTTTTTATTTCTTTTGCTCCAAAAGGTATCTTCAGTTTCCCTGATATTTAATCATAGTATCATTCTTCAAAAGATATTTAATCATAGCATTATTCTTAATAAACTCGCATTTTATCTTTTTTAATAACATATTTCAATTTTATTTACATTATTCCTAAGCTACATCTCATTTATTTTATCACTCGTTTTAATCCTTTTATTATATGTATTCCTAATACTCAATTTATCCTTAATTAATATTAATTATTTATCATCTTCCTCTCTTTTTTATTTATTTTTTATTCACTTTTGTTTTTCTTCTACATACCTAACTTATTTCTGTTTTAATTTTCACCCAGAGGATGATCCACAAGTTGGGATTAAAACATCAGTTCTTCTATATGATGATATCAACCAATTTTATTAGGATATTAATGAATAATTAAAAGAAATTTTTTACATCACACTTACAACAAAACATTTACATTTATTTTTTATACTAGTAAACTATTCATAAACATTAAGTTCTTACCAAAGATTTTTTAAATGATATCATTGATAAGTAACCTAATCTTCTGATTTTGGTAGTTACGAAAAAATTGCTTGCATATCCATAGTCAAAAAAGTAAAAGATATATTACCAATAATATTTTACTTTCCAAATTTAAAATTAAAATTTCTCAGTAAACCAAGCCATCATAACTTGTCATGATGAAATAGAAACAAAAATAAACTAAGAAAAATGACAGACATTTTATATTTCTTTTTAATTTTTAGGGTAATCTAAAGCTAATTTATGAGATAGACGTGTAAATTACAATATGAACATAAACTTTTTTTTTAAGTAAGGAGATTAACATGACACGTAGCTCTGAGCAATCCCTCAAGCAGATGTGCATAAAAGGAGATTTAATGGCACACATTGTGCCATTAAAAGTTTTGAGGGGGGCATATTTCGACAGGTTTTTGAATTTTTGAGGGAGGCACATTTTGACAAGGTTATAAATTTTCAGAATGAAAAGTTTCTCACAAAGGGACAAGGAATAAACAAGAAACAGACCTCAACAAGTGTAACTGTATATGATTTACGATTTTTCTAATTCTATATTCGCTAGCTCTGTTTTTAAGAATAGGTGAGCAAATAAAATATCTTGGGAGGGAAGGGGGGTAGGCTCTTGCGCCGTCGACCTTAGAGGGGATGGGCACCCCTGCCATCAACAGACCAAACCAGTACATAACAATGAATGCTTTTAAATAGTAGAAAAGAGATAATAAACAAAGATTCAATAGAGCTGCATGCAGATAACTGAAAAGAAATATCCCAAATATAGGCAAAAGTGGAGAAGGCTGGTTAAGGCAAAAAATGATCTACAAGGCCTGTAAAGCGAACAGAAAAAAAAGAAAAATGTTTTAAATATTCAGGAAGTTTTGATAATGGAGATCCAGCCCTGAAACTTTAAAAAGTAAATCAATTGATTTATTATAAGATTTTTTTTGTGTTAAAGCTTCAAAGAAAAATTTATTAGACTGCCTACAAATTAAGAAGAAAAATATAAATAATTAATAATTATAAACTGCGAAAGGTTATTGAGATCTGAAAACCTATTTGAAAATTGTGGTAGATCATTTCACACCAAGAGTAACTAATATTTAAAACCAATACAATTTTTTTTAAAGTAAAGAAATTGGGATTTTATCAACAAAAAGTTGTATTTGAATAGGAAGAAAATTATTGTTGCCAAGCACCAACAATTACAACAGAGGTGTTTCCTTGTTAGGTCGAGCCTTGTTACAGTTAATACTTATCACATTATAAATATTTAAAATTAAGAAGAGAATATTCATTCATAAATAAGATGAAAAGGTCGCAATTAAGAAAAATATTCAAAATATTAATAAGTCACCAGTGATGGACATAGCTAAGGAAATTTTTGTCTTTTTTGGCTTTTGCCGTAGTAATTATTATAGTTATAAACTTCTCCATTTGACGTTTAGAATCTCTAGGGTCTCCTTTTTCTATTAAAAATTGAAAAAATATTCAGTTATCCAGGTATAATCTCCATTGAAAAAAAAAAAAATTCTTTTTGCACTAGTGATGGACACCCCGAAATTCAGTTGTTCTAGTAATGGACAGGGGATCGGTACCAGTAATGGAGATATCACAGAAAAATTCTATTATCTTTATTTTATTATAAAGATAACAATAAATATAAGATAAATGTTCAACTTACTCTTATCAAAACTGTTAGTAGGGAGGTATGAAACACACTGATCACAAGATCACTATAGAAACAACAATAATAGGCATTTTAAAATTTTCTTTTGGGAACTTTATTCCCATTGTTGTTCAATCTAAAAAAAACTGGAACCTTTAAATCAACAAATAAGCTCATTATTTACATTTAAAGTCTAACTTGTCCATAACTGGTGCATTTATTCTATATCTCCTTGTATTGTTTTTTAAAAAGTTATGAGATAAATGATATATTTGTATATGCCTAGATTTTTATCTTGTAAATTTTATATAAAAATGTTACCTTCGAGAAAGACGATCCATCTTTTACTACCATGCGACTTGCGGAAATAATACCTAGAAATAAACTGTGTCAGTAGGAAAGTAAATTTACTCTTGAAGTTTTTTTGAACAAACAAGTAACAATTTTAATTCAATTTAATGTTTACAATCTCTCTTCTTTTTTTGTTTTTTTCTTTAGAAATTTTTCTTTACTCTACGTTAACTCAAAAGAAGTTTCTACCATTTTTATTTTCTTTAAGAAAACTGACATAATTTGATTGATCGAATAGTAAATATTAATACAACCAACTACTAACCCTGCCGGAGACCCATCGTTGCAAGTTGCATTACCTTTCTTTAGGTAAGATCTTTTAAGACTTTGCACATCTTTCAGACCGCATCCTTCTAGTATCTAAAAAAAAATAAAAAAAAAAAATAAAAATAAATAAATAAATAAAAAAAAAAATAAAAAAATAACCACTTATTTTTTAACAAAAATTTCACTTTTGCTTGCTTAGTTTTATTATTATCTTATTTTTTAAAGCAAATTTTAATTATTCGGATTAGATGCCATAAAACAATTTAAATTCATCTTATTTATTTTATATCAAGTAGCTTTCTAACCTGAATAGTTGATAATATTAAGCAGCTTATATTATAATTTCTTCACTAAAGTGATTTTTACCTTAATCAGCTCCTGCAGTTTTTCATGGTGAGGAATGGTATTTAAAATACTTATTGTCGGTTCTTGCGGAAAACTAGTGCATTGCTGGTATTTAATGAAAATCAAAGCAAATACACATTTCCAATATGCCATCTGTAAAGGACAAATAATTAATTATAGATCAACAATATTATTTTATTATGCATAGCTCAGGGAAGGAACTAGGATTTTTCCAGGAGGGATAAGCTTAATTTTTCTACTCCCTTTTACTTCTAGCCACTTCCGATAATAATCAAGATTTTATATTATATTTTAGGTGATTTATTCAGATAATATTAATTCAATATGCAGGATTTTTCTTAGCATTTTTTTTCCTTTGCGACTCTCTAAATCCTTTCCAAACAGCCCCTTTCCCATTAAGTATTAAATTTATCAAAAAACTCAACTGAAGCCTTTTATAAAGCATGCAACAAAAACATTACATCAATATTATATAATATTAATTGGTCAGTGCGAATAATTCAAAGACAATTTTGTTTAGTGAAAGAATAGCAAAACAATATGGAAATAAGTAAATTCTATCTATTATGTAAGGAAGGAATTGATTGTTTTTCCTGGGCCGATTATAATATCCCATTTAACATAAAAGACTAAAATATTTGTACAAATTGCTTTGCTAAGGCCTGTTTCCAAACGCTGATTGGAAAGGTAACATTCAAAATAAAGCCTCGATCATAGGATTTTCTAAAATATTAAAAAATATAAAATATAAAAAAAAAATGCCTTTAAGAAATTATAAAGTATATATCAGCCAGGAAAAAAAAAAGGTAGTAGAAAAGTAAATGCAGTATCCTTAAAGAGGAAGAAAGCATTAAGTATACCAAAACAAATGGACTGTGTCTTTGTTAATAATTGTCCAATTTCTTTTATTTGTAGGTAATTTAGTAATCTTCCTAATTATCATTTTTTCCTTAAATTTCGGAGGCATGTGACTATTTTTCCCATCTGAAAGGCTCAATAATTGAATTTGATGAATAATTGACCAAGTTATGGCGTTGTGAAAAAAAAAAAAAATCCTTTAGAAATAATATATAAGATGTGTAATATTATCTATATTTCATTTTAATAATAATTTAAAAGTTAAAAAATAAAGCCTTGTATCTGAAACTTCGTAAATAGTTTCATCTCATCATAACTTACAATTATTTTATTTAAGAAAACTCTTGGAATTGTGGCGTTTTCAATCTGGAGATCGACAAACATTATCAATTTAATTTTATTTTTTTTATTTATTTATTGAGTATTACAACAATCTGTCACATGGACACTAGTTATAGTGAGGTAGGATAACATTCACACTATATGTACAAAAAAATAGGAGCAAAATAAAAATAAATAATAATCAAAAAGTATATACAATAAATAAAATAAAATAACCTAAAAATAAAAAAAATAAAACTAAGCAAAAAACACGTGCATGCCTATATACACTAATCTATTTAATTAGGTACTAAAAACTCGTAAATACTCATCTGCTTTCTACTTAGATCGTAAGATAATTTGATCACAAAATCTATAGAAAAAAGGTGGCCTACAAAAATATAGGGCCGTTTGTCCTATATAATTTCGTTATTTTCACAATTTGAAGTGTAGATCACAGCAAACGGCTCAATATTTTTGAAGGTCACGTTATTTCTGATTTTGTGATCAAATTATCTTACAAGTACCTAATTAAATAGACAAACTTTGCCCCCCCTCCAGATTGAAAACTTCCCAATACCAAGAATTTCGTAAATAAAATAATTTTAGTTTACGATGAGATGAAACTATTTACGAAGTTCAGGGGGGTGTTAATAATTCGATAAAAAGGGCTATAACGATAGGTAACTGTTAAGAAACTATTATTTAACTATATTTATTAAACTTTGTTTACATGTATGTATTTTTTATCATGTTTAATTACTTTCATTTGTATACGTTATTTTTGCACACTTCTTATTTGTTGAATTTTTTTTTTTGTTCTTGTTATTCACTCTAAATATTTGTTATTGTTTTTTTAAATTTTTATTTTTGATATACTTATCTTTTTCATTTCTTTATATCAAAAAATCATTTTCTTATCATGTTTCAATGTTTTTATTATTATATAATTTTATATCGATCACTTTGCTAGTTTATTCTTAACTCTTGTTACTGTTATTGTGCACTCTTATTATCCTTATACTTTATATTTATTGTTTTACTGATGTTATTTTATAATTTTTTAAACTGATGAAGACCCACATGTTTGGAATATTGTGAAGACGGCTAATCCTATAATTATTATCATGCCTGAAATTCCTGTCGATTTCCTTTCATCAGTATATAAATTAAGTTGATGTAAGAGAAGTGCTTTGTCCGAACGTCGACGTTTCGAAAAATAAAATTCGTAAAAAATATTTTTAAAAACATGAGAAAATTTTTTAAAATTTTATTTAGTTTTCTGAAATAATCTAGTAATCAACAAATATAATAGAAAAATACGACGCTTGTGACGAAGCTCAGCTGCAACCCTGAGTTTAGAAAAGACCCTTTAGCCTTTCACGGAACTATAAGAACTGCTTCATTACTGAACGAACATTAGAAGATTTATGGTACTACGCCTTAAATAGGAAAGCCCATTTCAACTGGAGAGAGAAATAATTGTTCCAAGAAGGTTATCACTCTAGTTCCAGGATTTCTACTTAAAATAACTTCAACCTCTGACGGGATCTATTCGATTTTCGAAATTTTAGGAAGTTAAGATACTGAAGAACCGAAAATAGCAACAGAAAATATTAACATTAACACAACACCGTCTAATCCACGAGTGGAAGGCTTTAGGGCCAAAAACCCCCCAACCCCTCTCACTTAAATAGAGATGTCATAACCAAATTAATAAAACATTAGTTATAGTGTTTAAGTTTTAAATCTATTTATGCAGTGTGATCTATATTATCTTGGCCCACAGTTGTCAAGTGCTTGATACTCGAAAAGTGCGAATATGGGAATGAATTTTCTACATCAAAACAGACCAAACCACTAACGCATCCAGAATTTAATTTTAGGGAGTTTCAGCCTCCAAGATTTATTTTTGTACGTATATATTAGGATAATTACTTCAGAAGAAAGAAACTAACTACCTATATGGAACGGAGTTTAAGTGATTCCTTAAGTCCTATTAAATGTAATTAGACGAACAATAATACTTTTTTTTCTTTTATTCATTGATATTTACAACTGTATTATAAAAACGCTGCAAATTATTCCACAATGGTTTATTATTTCCAAACAATTATACATCTAAAGTAACATTACCTTCCTAGTTACAAAGAAAAATAAATAAAAGGTGATTCCAATTATTGGACTAAACTTCTTTTTTTTATTCATTAGTAATATGCTAAAAAAAAATAGCATTACTTCAGTTACTGTGTTCATTCAAAATTTAAAAACCAAACAAAGGATATAACATTTGGAGTAGAACATATAAAAAAAAACCGGAGACCATATCTTTGCTCCTAATTGTCCGATTTTAACGATTTTTTTTTTGTTTTTAGGAAATTTCGTAAACTATCGACAAAAAAGTATAAACTTTTCGAGTTATTCGAAATTAAATGTTATCATCCCTCGTAACTTTTTTCAGCTTATTTTTGTTGAAGTATGTTATATATATAAATTTAAAGGGCGTAGAGAAAATGACTTAAGCGAAGTTTCATTGAAATGGCTACATTCGTTTAGGCGTTACAGTCTATAGCAACGCAGGATTTTCGGCCGCCATTTTGAAAGTAAAAGGCGGATAATAATGTCGATGAAGGAGGATCATCCTCGGGTGACCTCTGATTTTATATCCAAATATGAAAAAAATCGGTCCAGTAGTTTCGGATAAAATGCGCGGACGGCGGACGGACAAAAAAATGTCTATTCCTTTTTCGAATTCTACGGATCCTGAATTTTTTGGTCGATCATAATGGTTGATTATTGAAAATAATAAACCAAAAAATACAACTAGTAAATGTGCACACAGTAATAATACAATCACATGAAAACGCTTGTTGAGAAATTACCCATTGGTAGCACTCTAATAATATATATACATAAGTAGATCACGAGGCCATCTTCTTTTCAGACGCCTCGGAGGGATAGTACTTATAGAAATATTTTTTTTCATAAAACATGTTTATATTTTACCATTTTGGGGGGTCTTGCGTAGATCCGCCTGTGGACCAAACAATATTTATCTATTGCCTATTTTATTTATTCTTTCAAGCGTTTGATCCACCTCCATGGAGTTTTTGTTACATCATTGTTACTATCTGATTTTAGGTTATTGAGTGTGGAATTGAAATATATAGCCAAATTTTTCAGTGTCCCCATTGATATTACCGATGATAGTACTAAGTGGAGCGCCACTTTTATGTAACTTTACTAATCCATGTATTATAGATATATTGTAGTTAGGGTTAATTAGTTTAATAAGAAATTTTTAAAGTTAATATTGCATAAAATATGGACATCAAAGCAAGGTCAATCTAAAAAAGTCCTCCATTATGCCTAAGAATTTCTGCAAAATTATTATCATTTATATTATTCCTCTCCTTATTTTTATATATTGTTAATAATGTTGTCAAAATAAAATTTCAATGTTTATTTTGTAGGGTTTTGACTACCGATGCCTGATGCTAGTTTTCGACGGATACGTTTCACAGCCCCTGAGTCCGAAAAAACACCGTTCAGCTTATCGTTTGAAAGGTAATGAAATTCCCTACAAAGCCATATAAAAAAAGATTACGAGTTCATTTCCTGGTGTCTGAAAGGGATGAATGAGAGAAAAAAAGATGACTAAGTGAAAGTAAGAAAATCTGTTGCCTGCATCACACAATCTTCACTATTTCCTTTACTTTTAACAGAAATCATTGTTTGACAATACTAAGCTATGGCAAAAAGTTTTTCATCAGCAATATTAGTGAATATGGACATTTTTACACTGATCTACGTTAAGCCGGATTCATTGCTTTAGTTTATCAAATAAATCGTACTCAAATCTTTTGTTTGATCAATTTTCATGAAAATAAATTCAGTTCAATTCTTTTTTGTTTCTTCATGAACATATGTAAAGATATAAAAACTTTTCTGAA